TTCGTGAAAATGAAAAAGGCGGAGTCTTGTGCAAGTTAGAGCCACGGTGAAAGTCTGTCTTGCAGTCCGAGCAGCCGGCCTCCTGTGGCAGGTCCACTCTCCAGATGGATAAGGATCTCGCGGGGCCGAGTGAAGATCGATCGACCGGTCGTGCCGTTTCGTGGGAAATTTATAGGATGCCCGTATATCGATCTCTTGGCTGTCGCGCACGCTCTTACGAAATCGAGAAAATTCTGGAAATGGAACTCGTCCAGCCGCCTGAATCGATCTGGGATTTATTGGGTAAAATTTCGTGGAAATTTTTCTCGCTTCTCGCGGCGAACGTGTCGATTTTATATTTAGAGCGACTGTCGAATTTCTCAAACGATAAATATCAAGTATAAATCTGTCATACATACGCCTACAGAGTCTGATGACAATGAAACATTAATCTTTTTCTACGGTTTTCTAGAACGAAACGAGGCTGATATTTAGGACGATCAGTGGATCTTCTGCGAGCAGAGTCTAGATTCGGGATTAGTAGAATGGCAAGGGAGTGAATCTGTGATACATCAGAGTCTGCGAGTCTGTTAATTCTCACTTAACTTTCATGAATGACTGCGACTAGTGTAATAATATACTATATATCCATTCTTTTGTTCCCATTCTCTGCAATCACCGTGTTCAAGAGTTCGCACAATCGTTAACATAATCTTACGATTGTACATTATCGACCTGAAAGGAACGAGAACATCGTCCTTCCTGTTCACCTACTCTTCGCATTATTCTCAATAACTAGTTTTCTCTTATTGTCGAAATTGACGAAACACCTGTGTATTTACTCGTAACTGTAGCTATTTTCAGTGCTATTAACGTCTTGCTCTGGAATAACGTGCGACGAACGTCGAGAATTTTTTGGTCCCAAATTGCAACATTCTCTCAGTTTTAAGTATATTAGTAAACGTAACCCAGGCAAAATAAATGATAAGTTGATTACTTCTTAATAATCTCTATCCAGTGATATACCGACGAGTCCAAAAGAAAAAGAGAGCGACGAATTATTGTGTGCGGTTCGGTCACTCGTTATGGTCCGCGAACCAGTTGCCAGCCAGCGCAGGGGGTTAAAAACTTTACGTTTGAAATTCAGGTTAGGTCACGATCCGGCCAAGATGTATTCCAACCGGCGTACCAAAAAAACGATGCGGCGATGATTGCTCGTGAGAAACGCGCGTTCAGATGGAAAAACCGCGAGATTTCCAGCCGCTTTCTCGAGGAAATATCTCTATTTGCATTCGGCGTTGGCGCTCGTTTCGCCGCGATGCCCGATACGACGGGGATGGTTGGGAAATCTCATTGAGGCACGCCGAAAGAAAAGCGGCGACCTATGCCAACGCTACCAAAGAACATCGTTGCTCGCGGCTCGGAGGAGTGCGACCTGGCACAATGGAGTGTTAAGAAACGCGCCTGGGCCGCTGAAAAAGCCGTCTGCATTGTTCGTGCAGAGGTTAATAATGACATTAAACGGGGAACGGTGTATGAAAACCCGGTTGACTTCTTGCATGATGCACCGCGGCGTGTTATCGGCGAACGTAACACAAACGCTGTTGTTGTGCCAATAAAGGCTAAAGGATAATCTTGATGATCCGTTGTTAGGGAGGTAACGTTGAAAGAAAGCCGCCGTGCGATTGACTGATACGTGGATCCGCGGGATGTCTTTATGGAGGGCAAAGCAGAATCAGCCAAGCCTCGCTAGCACGAAATAATTAAAATGCAGCTCTGGAGGAAAGTAATCTTCGATTTGAATGAAGGGATACTTTTGATGATCGCGACGTACGCGTGGATACGCTGTTTCTATTGCCATTTGTATTTACAAATATCAATTCATCGTTTGTATCAGTTCGTTTGAAATATTAATCGGTTCTTCTAGATTGAACACGAATCATTTATGACATGTTGTTTGTCTTTTTATTCGTTCAGCCTACGTGCATCGATTGAAAGAAATTGACGATAATAGCCACAATTATTTTTGTCGTTTTCGAGTGAAACTGTCGTCTTAAATATTAATCAAATCGGCTAACATAATTAATAAAAAAACGGCAAAGTATCATCTATGATGTTCACAGTCAGCGCTGGAAGTAAGCGGGTTCCAGCTGTTTTTGCTGGGAAATCGCTCATTCGCCAGGAGAATCGAGCGCAGCACCGCGGGGTGTCATTGTTGCCAGCAGCGGCAAGAAAGTCGCCCAATCAAAGTTCCAGTTTAATCAATGATCCCCGAAGGAAACGAGCCACGATTCGCGATAGGTTGCACGCCAGAAACGCACGTCGAAACGCGCGCGTTCCTCGCATTCTTTCCGCGACCCGGTTTATTACATAAGAACAACGGCCGCCGTGTAATCGTTACGTCGCGCAGTGAAAATCCCTGGTAACAAACGAACGTGGTAATTTCTATTAGTTTTCCCTCGTCGTGAAACGCGCCGTGCTCCGACGCATGCGCGTTTCATCCAATCGATTTCTTTCGCGTTGCTGCTGGGACCGTTATCGTTCGATGAATCAGTTGATGAAAAAAAAAAAAAGAGAAAAAGAAAAAGAGAAAGGAATAAAGGAGAAGTCGCGACTTGGAGAATCGGAATTCGTGTCGCAGCTGAGATATTTTTTTTTTTTTGCTCTCGTACTAACAATTCGCAGGTTGTTAAATCATTTAATGAAAAGGAAGAACATACTTGTACATGGAAATGTCTCGTTTTTCGTCGAGAAACTCGTTTCGTTTAATCCCGCGCAAGATGACCATTACGCGGATCGAAGTTCCAAAGGAAATTTCATTAAGAAGAGATTTAACGCAACGTTGCTCTTAATGGCCAGGATTTCCTAGATTACGCAATGATCATCAACGGAAAAAAAAAAAAAAAACTTTCTAGACGCCGTACCGTGCTTTTCACCTCGGGAACCTCAGCATCGACCGTTGCGGTTCGAGCTTAAATTCGTCACCGTTGGAGAACACCGATCTTTACGATGTTCTACTCGGCTCGGGATCGCAAACGCGCCGCTTTAACGGAGATGCAGTAAATACCGGTATCTGGTGTCGTAAAGTGCGGCATTGGTTTTCCACCAAAGAGAGAGAGAGAGAGAGAGAGAGAGAGAGAGAGAGAGAGAGAGAGAGAGATTAAGGTAGAGTAGGGCTTCTGTGTGACCTGAGAGTAAGAAGGAAATGGGGAAGAAAGGGTTCCCGGGTAAAGAAGAAGCGAGGAAGAAGAAGAAGAAGTGGACTTCGTCGAAAGGCATTAGAGAAAGCGAGGGAGAAAAAGAGAGAGAGAGAGAGAAGAGTAGAGGAAAAAAGAGAGGCGGAAAGAGAGAGGAACAAGAAGGAGAGGACCAAAGCAGCTCGCCACGTAATTTATGTCTGGAGCGCACCGCGGTACGCTGTAACCGCGTTGACAGTTGAAACACGGCGGCGACTCGGATTGGTCGGCTTCGGGCGCCTTATAGGGTCGCGCGCATGCGCACACCGCCTTACGACATCCATCAGAGGCGACCGGCTACTGCCGTCAGAGCATGCCACTCTTTATCTTTCTCCTTTTCTCTATCCCCCTTGCCCTTTGCCGATGTCAACCGAGCCGTAATCCGCTGTCACTTTGGATACTGTCCCCGTCGTCGTCTCGCTCTTCGTTCGCCTGTTAGGTTGTTGTCCTATTTCGCCTATTCCGGTTGTCGGGCCGAGCACCGCGAGACCCAGGAGTACCTATCCAGACGTGGTTGCTACGTCTTCCGATCATGTCCTTTACGGTCCCTCTTCGAGTCGACTTCGATGGAAAGTGTCTTCTCCATCTTCGGCTCTGTGCGTCAGGCCGGTTACTTTTACCGGGCGAGCTTCTTTCCTTCCCTTCGTCGCCTCGGGAATTATATAGGTTTTTGATCGGTGACTGGTCTACGCCGTGTCTACGTTGACGCGGCGTTTTTCAACGTCTCTCGTCTCGTGGATATCGGAATCGGCTCGGTTTCGATCCTTCGAACAAAACGAGCCCTCTTTTGATTACTTTCACCAGAAGCTTTCCCTCTCTCTTTCTGTTTTTTTTTTTTTTTTTTTTTTTTTTTTTTTTTTTTTTTTCTTTTCTGTAGTCAGTGATTTCTCGCGGCAGACTTTTCGCACGTAGTGACACAGTCTTGTGTCACAATCTTTCTCGAGACAGTCTACGACGAAGGTGTGAGAATTTCGTTCGAGCAAATCGACCGTGCTTCTTTTCAACGCGGATTGCGGCCAGATCGGAAGGATTAGGTTCTTTCCACTCGGTTTTTTCGACAGGATCACTGAACCGTGAACGGTGAAATACCGTCGATGTTCGTTCGGGTGTCGTGTGAGACTACGTTGCAAAACAGACACGCGTGCAAAACAGTCGTTTAACGCCGCGACGTAACAGTTCAATAAACGTATCAGACTTCATTCGCTTGAAGAATTCTGCATTCTCATCGTCATTGAAACTTTTGACCATCTCTGTAGCGTAATAAAACTGATTAAATTAAACTATGTTAATTCATTGGCTACAATCTTTTTAATTGCTATTTAAATTAGCGTTAGCCATTCGCTGTTTCTACACTGTGTCAGTCGCGAATTACAAAGAAATTATTTGTTACTTGTAACTATGTAATTCTCCAGTAATTAGCTGAAGTTAACTCTATTATAAATTTGCCTTTCTTAAATTAAAATCATATCGTAAGTATGAATATTACGAAACAAAAGGACTGAAAAACAAACCTTTATTTAATGACACTCCATTCTCTTTGAATCGTATAAAATTGCAGCGAAATATCTTCAAATACTCACATCGAAATGCAAAATAGAATATAGTTGAAAGAGTTGAAAATTTTCGTTTTCTTTGGCTGTACCCTATAATTCAACTGTCTCAGCTGTCAAGTTATATTAAAATTAATTACGATTATCGATCGTAAATGTTATATAAATGTCGTACGTTTTGAAAATAATTGGTATTGGAAAGTTTCTAAGGCGTGCGATGGGATGTTTGTTTCAGCCGGCCAGCTCGCAGGAGCGTGGCAGCGGCTTGGCTGTGGGACGTCAAGGGGGGCCCGGCAGCGCGGGGGGGCCCGGAGCAGTGGACCAGGCAAGGGACCTAAGTCCCTGCCTCCCTGCGTCTATGGGCGACGCTGCACGACCTACCACCTTACCGTGCAGTCCTCCTGCCGCCCACCATCACGGGCCCCATCATACACCCTTGCACCAAACACACTGTGGAACTAACAACAACTGCTACGACGGACCAACAACCCCCTACGACTCTAGGGACTACGATTCTCCTGCAGGTTCGGTTATCTTGCATCATAATTTGCATGAAATCAACATTACGTGTTTGCATTATCTTTGGAAATATTTAATTCTTTATTGTAGATCACGCTCGATGCGATACTATTCTACTATAACGCGATGAAACGATTCCACATTTTTATCGACAGACGAAGTGTTATGGCAATTAATTAATTTGATGCCTTCAGGTTTACCTATTTGTAGTAACCAGATTTCTAGCAATTATACTGTAACCATATCGTAAAGTATTCAAGATTTACGATAACTTTGAACAATATTTGACAGTTAAAATTTTACATCACGTTAATTGCGAAATTGAATTCTCGACAATTTAAAATCTTTCAAATCGACAGTCTTAAAATTTTAAGTTAAAATCTTGTTATATATAATCTACAATCGTAACGGACTCGCAGCTTACAAATCCATTGTCCACTAGGTGGCCAAGAATATCGGAATAATCACGGTGGTTTTGAAAACCCGAGCGACGTAACCATCCCTCACCATCATCATCACCACCATCATCACTCGCATCTGCACCCGCAGACCCACTCGCAGGAGCAACAGACCACGGACCATTTGCACGCCATCCCGAAGCTGGAGCCACCACCCACCCCGCCGGCGCAGTCCGAGGACGTTCCGGGGGTGGTTTGCGCTGGATGCGGCCTCCGGATATCCGACAGGTTTTACCTGCAGGCGGTGGACAGGCGGTGGCATGCGGCCTGCCTTCAGTGCTCCCACTGTCGCCAGGGACTCGACGGCGAAGTCACCTGCTTCAGCAGGGACGGAAACATTTACTGCAAGAAAGACTACTACCGGTGAGTCGATGCAGACATTTGTTACGGTGATTAACCCTCGACTGGTGAAACATTACGTAAGCGGCCGAGGTCGATTCCGGAGAGTTTTCTTGTTGAGAGATTGCGTACTGGCATCGTTGGATATTTATGCAAGTTTACATTTTTGTGAATAGGCGTAAGATTTCTAGTCTAGGCAGATACTTAGTCTCATATATGTAGTATTAGATAAAGAACAGTGTAGATACTTTGGGTAAGTACCATTTAAATCTGGTAGTTTCGAATTTTTAATAGCTTCGCTTCATGGTTTGCAATTATATCATCCTCATGCGGCCGGCTGAGCAATTAAACGAAACCGCAGAGTGTCTTTGCTGTCTTTATCCCAGAGAAATCCGCTGGTTTGTTCTGTGGTTGACTTCGTATCGTTGCGCTAAAGCAATTATTTTTAGATTATTGGATTTTCCGAATTCAAAATAAATAATTTTTCAAAGTTTTACGACTTGTTATAATTCAATTAAATACTTTATAATTCTTTTATGTAAACTTCGATATTATTTGAAATTAGAAATTCTTCGAGCTGTACTTTTTTTCCTTTTTCGCGAACTGCCGTATGCCTCTGTTTTTTAAACTTTCCTCCGTGTCATTAAAGTTGGTTGTACGTCGCAAGGAAAACGCTGGGTCGCTCGTCACGGCGGCAAGTCAACCGCGAAGCGGCAATTTCTGTAATTCCAGGGGCCATTCGAGGAGACGATCCGCGATTTCAAAGAGCGCGCTCGTGATTTGCGCAACGAAGGCCTCGGAATCTCCTCACTCGCGACGATAAGGGCTCGTTTTATTCGACGTACACGCGATTGACAGTGAATTACGCCAACATCGCATCGAATCATGCATAGAGCAACAAAAAAATTATCGTGACAGAGAGAACGACTCGCGGAGAACAATAAGATACTGCATGTTTATGTAAGTCGACTCGCTATTTCGAGGATGCGGATTTTCTTCAGGAAGAACATTGTATCTCAATTTTGTAGGAAACATTATCAGACATAGATAAAAATTTTTTGTTTAACAAGGTTCAAGTAACTCATCTTTCGGAAGAAATTTCCAATATATAATTTCTCATTTCTCATAATTATAATATAATTATATATTATGCTCAAGTTATTATATACAATCACTATATATTATGCCTAGTATGTATTAACCACGATAAGTTTTGAAGTTTCATAGTTACAAAACATTATGCACCGACTGTGTAGAGTATTATTATTATTATTATTTAACGATTTTACGTTACATTTGGTCATTATCATTTAGGTTATGTAAAGCAAAGTAACTACAAAGAAGATCGATTCCATAGAAAGCGATTTAGAAGTACAGAGACTGTTAGAAGATGAAAGGATAAAATTTATTACTTTGAAAGTTAAAAATGGTAGTTTCCATTGACGACGTTTGCTATTCACAGAAAATTGATCGATTAAGTAATACACTTCGCGTATAAGATAAGGATAATAAAGTCCATAAGTGCATTCGCGTCTTACCTAACTTGCCTAATATTCCGAAACAACGTTCGAACCAGGAAAAAGCTCGTCTATGCGATCATCCTCTTTCTCAGACGAGCGCAAAACCTTTCCCCAGATTTCTATGCTAGCGATTCCTCAATTAATTGACTTTCCCTGAAGTTACAGACGACAAACGCGATTTCTTAATAAATTACATAATCAAGGCGAATTTCACGTTTATTCTTATAAGAAACAACGAAATTTTCACGGCAAGTGAACAGAGAGATGAATCACGTTGATCATTTTTAGAAACTAAAATATTTTATCTTGACTTGAATATTTTGAAAGTTAATATCTTAATATTCCATGTTACGATTACCATTTTTCCTGGAATTTACAATGTTTAGAAATTTCTAGGAATAATAAAATGAGAGAGAAAATACAACGGAAATACAACGGTAATACAATTAACTCTTATAACTGTGTAAAAAATTGTTACTCCCGTTTCTCTCCAGTAATTGATTTTCCACAGAGAGCTTCATAGATACAGCGGTGTATAATCTGTTTGACAAACAATTCGTGGAATAGTTGGTCCATTTCTACGTACAATTAGATCGGTGGTGCGTCACGGGTGAACTTGGCACAGCTTCGAAAGAATTCTCTCATGTTTCACCTCATGGGTATGTGATTTCCATTCCAAGAAACAATTGCGCCCCCGACGCTCGAGTACGCGGAATTCACCTGTCTTGCCATATCTCGCGCCGGTTTCAGACGTTGAACCTCGTCTAGCAGGGAATCAGGGGTCGCTCGCTCTTCTCGATCATTTTAGAATGAAAATCGATCGCCAGCCCGCCTCGAACGCTTTCGAAACGAAACTTCCGCGTCGCGTTTGCGATCGTGGGCACATGCGACGAGTGAAAAAAAGAAAAAAAGGTTTCGCTTCGAGCAGGAACTCCATAGATTTTTCGTCGTAAAGGTTGCGATTCGGAGTAATGTTGCGTGGTGTAATTTCCGAGGAGCAGCGTTATGTAGATTGTATCGCTTTCATCCGATTTCGTGCAGCTGCGATTTCCAATTTCGCGCAATTTCAACTCAGTCTTGTGTAATTTTACCTAGGCTCGTTCGTTTATTTTAATTTATTTCTCCAATTTTATTGATGAAAAATATTTAAAACGGGGATGCTAAATAATTCGATCTCTGTCTTCAATGTCCATAGTAATTGATCTTTCCTGACATCGAAATTACTGTATTAATTTCAGTAGAAGTTGCCTTTAGGTGGATAGAATCGAACCTGTTTCAAAAAATAACTAAATATTGTTCAAATCAGCTACACACAACAAAATGTACACTAAAATTACCCAACTTCGAAGTGTAATATAACCCAACATAATTAACTCACGCCCAACATAATTATAACAACCGCCGAAATAACAAATAATTCTCCGAAAATTCCAAAATTCAGTTTAAATTATCCTCGTGGCGACCACACCGCGTTCGAATCGCGTATCGACGAATCCATAAATCTTCCCTCGCGCCGTACGTCAGAAATGAAAATATCAAAGTATCCTCCACTCGTATCACGATCGGTTCGTTCCTCGTGCCTCGATCGTCTCCGTTCGATCGGCCAGCGAAATAATTTAAAGGTTCATGCGAGAATATCGTTGCGGGGACCGTGGTCGAGAGAGACAGGGAACATCGTGTTGGGCCGTGGAGGAGGCCTCACACGGCGCGGATATTAGCGTACTCCCTCGCTCCGGCTCGATTCCTCGCACACACGGCTGTTGGCCGTACGTACGGACTGGCCAGTCCGTCGACTAATGGTCACGACTCGACCATTTACCTCCGGCGAAGCGTCGATTCTTGATAAGTAAATCACCGTCGATCTACATTTCACGAGCGACGGACGATATACACGTGCACCGGGCTTGGACGTCATCGCGAACGGTGCACCAGCGTCGTCATCCCCCGGATGTCCCATCGATGCACTTGTTTTTCTCTATTTCTTCTCCCTTTTTTCCTTTTCGTTCCACACTCGGCTCTCCTCGACTCGACGTTCAACCTTCGACCTTCGTATTTTATTCCCCTGCTCGAATTTCGATCTCTTTTCCACCCCTGACGTTTCGTCCCCCGATCAAGTGGCCGACAGAGAATTTTCTAAGTTTCAAGTTCGAGCACGCGTATCTTTAACATCAGAACTGTTAAACAAAAACTGTTTCGACTCTGCAGATCTGCAACGACGTACTTTCAGAGATTTCGATTTTTCAGAGTTTTCGGTAAAAGAGATTTTCTATTTCTAAAGAGATACATTATAAACTTTTTCCTATTAATTTCTCTGACACGAATGTCTAGCGATCGGTGGTTCTAGAAGATTTTGTTAGCGGTTCGATTCTATTCTAGACGATTCTACAATGATTTATTAATCGATAACGTTCGTAGTGAACGGACAATTGTCAGAGAGTAATTTAGCAGAAGAGAGTAATTTATCCGTTAGACGTCGCACTAGCTCCAATATTCTAAAACGTTCGAATGTCCGTGGACGTGGCAATTTTACAGTTATACGTGGTTCAACGCACAGATATCTCGGAGAGAGAGAGAGAGAGATAGAGTGTAGATAACAGTGATTCATTATCACACAAATCATTAAACGGGCGACAGAAGCTGAAACCGCGTTCGATTTCGAAGCCGCGTTGCAATTTCGGTAGCCAGACACCCAACCGAGGCTCCTTTTGCTCGTTTTTCGTTCCCCCGGCTCTTCTGCGTGCTTTCTTCTGCTCGCTCGTGGACGCGGTGGTATGCCTCGAAAATCACGCCAGCTGATCTCCGAGGCCACGGTCGAGATCTCCCGGGATAAGCGACTGGTTTTATCGCGCGAAGCAGGACGCGCGAGCGAAGACACTCTGTGACAGCGTGGCGAGATTAGAATTCGCGGGGTGAGAACGTCGCTCGGACTTTCCTCGACACGCGTTTCGGTGATCCGTGCGTCGAGAGAGATGTTGCAGATTAGAATTAATAGATTGTCGCGTTGATTAATCACTTAACCTTTAGCTTCGACTCGAAATTGAATCGAAACTTAAGACTGCCCCAAGATTGAGAAATTACCTACAATAATCGTATATCATTTAATGTTTTCTATCAATTTGTAAAAATACTTTTCATTCAGCGCTGATATTTTTAGATTCTTAACGAAGAAGCAAATGAAAAAATACTTTTCACTCAGTGCTGATATTTTTAGATTCTTAACGAAGAAGCAAATGAACGAAACAAACGTTCTTCAAACGAAATTGACATTTCAACTAATAATCTTCTGTTTTTAGTGAATGACATATTAAATGAAGCTTGGAATATCAATGAAGTTTTAAAACGATATTGATGAAGTTTTAAAGTAGTTAAGACAAAATACATTGGTAAGCGGAATAAATTCGTAACAAGTTGGGTGTGCGATACCCAACTGTCTGACTCCGACGGCTCGTACTACTTTGTTCACTTTAAGCAAATGCCTGCTCTCTCACAGATCAATTGACTGAG